ACTACAGGGTTACTTGGATTGCAGGGGAAAGAGCCCATGGCCAGAACAAGAACAGCATTCTAGGTTCACGAATGGTATTTGCCTTCATACTCTGCCTGATAGGCATACGGATGAGGCTTGTATATCGAAGGCCTCTACTCTTGACCAATTTCTTGAATGAGTTTCCAATGACCTAATTTGAGTTTGCAAAGGGAATCCTAAATCTTAGCTATTACTGTCATCTTTTCCTTTCACAGAACATTTTAACTTAACAAACCAATTTTTAAAATGTTATAAAATTTTGGTTTTAACCAATATTTATGAAGTGTCTGCTAATGGCCAGATAGGCAGACGTGTTCCTTGAGTGTTTCACTTTGTGGCTGAAGTGAACATTCTAGAGGCAGCTCATGGCTATAGAACTTTCTGGGTACATCTGAGCAGTGTGGAAGGAAAGCTGGGACGGTACTGGAAGCCAAAAGAACTATAATGTTTAAAGTGACACTGCCCGAAATCCAGATGCAACAATAATAGCAAAATAGTATACATCAATAATAAACACAACAGTAGCCACTGATGAGTGGTCACAGCGCAAGAGAGCTGCGGGGTGGGCAGTGGGCAGATGGAGGGAACCCGGCACAGCGCTCCTGATTCGGCAGGGAGACGCGGAGCTGGGCAGGACGGTCTTGTCTTTGGTGGTGGGTGGCCTCAACTGATGGACCGAGAACGGGAGACAAGGAGAGCGAGTGGGGTGAGGGAGGGGCAGCAGTGAGGTGGGGCGGCTGGACTGAAGTAGGAGGGCAACCCTTCTGTCAGGCAGGAGGAAAGGCGAGGAGATGGGCAAATTAACGTGTTCCTAGATTTGGAGGCGAGATGGTTTTAATCTGAAGTGTTTGAGGTTTTTTCCCCCTTCAGGGTAGGGGAGGAGAGGGCAGCCTGCAGCTTTGGCTCAGAAAGAAAGGGGAAGCCAGAGACCTGAGCCAGCGAGACGGACTTTGCAACAGCCGGTGAGGAAAGCTGAGAGAGATCTCGCCATAAAAACGAAAGAGTTAACTTTGGAGAGGACTGGGAAGATGAACCCTCCACTTAGCAGCCAGCACGGCAGTTACATGACAGAACTTGAGGTCTGCATTTGGGCACCACTGGCTGGACGGTCCCAGCGCCTGCCAGGGGCATGGTCTTGCTGTTTGGAGAAGGGGCTGCAGGGAACTGAAGGGTCCTAAACTCGGATGCTGCCTGGGCCCCACAGCTCGAGAGGCGTGGACAGGCTCAGCTCTGTTTGCACAGTGTCTGCAGTCGCCAGTGTTTGTCTTTCTTTCGGGGTTAGAGCGGCACCCCAAGGCTTTTGGTCTCTGGGATACTGGTTACCACCTACCAGTATCAGTACCAGAAAAAAGTGCTTTTTTCACCTAGTAGGTGAAGTTTTAAGTGATCAGTAAGGGAGAGTGAAGAGTGAGATCAAGAAGATATATTTTGGAAATGAAAATCTTGCTTTTGCGACTTGGGTTGGCCTCCAAATGTCTGCCTGTCTCCCAAAGCTTCCTTATGGCCTTTTGGACCAGGCAATCTACTTGTCACCAACAAACAGCTCTAGCTTCTTCGTAGTCGTGAGAATGGGCAATCATCGGGTTAGGTTCTTTGAGCCTATCAGTATGCGACGTCCTCACTAGCTGCACCACACCAGCTCCCATTTGCTGGACACGTCACCCACCCAAAGCAGGGAGCCCCTGACCACGACCCAGCACTGATATTCACCAGTCCCTCTTGACTTGACAGCAGTTTGCACTCTCACGGTGGTCGTATCTTAGTGTTCTGACTCCACCGTGTGGAGTTTCCTGAACTGTTATAATTTTAGATTACTGGACGAACTTGAAAAGGTTTAACCCATTTCTTTCTTTTTTTTCACCATTGTTTTTGTTCTTGTATTGTTTTCCTTCTCTCTTCCCTGTCTCTGTCCTTCATCCTGCACACCCTCTTTCCTTAATGTGAGTCAAGAGACCACATAGGTGCTGGGTCTGCATCTTTCTACTTTCAGCCACACCTGAGCCACCAAGGACACACCCTTTCTGAATGTCCTGACTACTCTCCCTGTCCAGTGTTCTCCCAAGCTGGTTGGCTGCTGAAATGCCCTCCTTAGGCATTTGGGGTCAGGAAGAAGACAGTTCTGCCTCCTTCCATCCTACCCCTGTTCCTTCACCCTCCATTCAGACCCGAGTCTCGCACCTGTTTGCTTGCCAGACCTTCAGGAAGCCCCGATGAGGCTCTGGCCATTCAACAATGAAAACACAGTTTGCCTTCTGTGGCCCTGGGCAAGTTCAGCTCTCCATTTTCATGGTGAAATAGGAAGAAACTGAGTCAGACGGTTTCCGGGGAACCTTCTGTTTTAATGGCTATGATAGCTGACTGGTGTTTTAATGAGTGATTTCTTATTCTGTCCCAGACAACGTCTCTTTATGTATTAATATTTATACGCACTTTCCTACTAACTAGTATGGGTTTAAAACATATGAGGGTACTTAAATATAAAGACACATTTTGGTCTACTTATAATAAGAAACACTGTGCACTTGTTAAGATCATTGCTTTTCTGGCCTGCACATCAACAGCGAGTGCAGAGTTAGGCAGAAAGGAGGCATAACTACAGACAGTAAGGAGCTAACAGCAGCATTTCTACAGTGGCAGTCCTTGGCTGTCAGATTACAAATGTTTCATGTTGTGGGGACTGAACCCAGAGCCTCAGACATGCTGACTGCATACTCCACCACTAAACTATAACCTCAACTCACAAATGTTTACAGGTTTCTACTCTGTTACCTTCATTTTTCAGAAAGATGGCTCAGGGGGGAAAATGCCTGCTGTCCCAAGTCTGGTTCCTGGATCCCACAGTACAAAGAGAAAACTGACCCCTACATCTGCTCTGTGTCACATTCCAACACACACCCACACACCCCTCACAATCATGTTGTTTTTTTTCTATAATTAAATAAAGAATATTATCTGGGCATGTTGGTGCATGCCTTTAATCCCAGCACCCGGGAAAAAGAGGCAGGCGGTCTCTGAGTTCCAGGCCAATCTGGTCTACAGAATGAGTTCCAGGACAGCCAGGGAAACAAAGATAAACCATCTCAAAAAACAAAACAAACAAAAAGTAATTTGCCTTGCATTTTCCAAATATGCCTGTAACACTGATTTTCCCCCCTCCAGGTTATAAACCTATGTAATCAGTCAGACTCTAATATCTTTCTGAAGAATGGCAATCTTAAAATAAGTGAGAAAAGCAAGAACAAACAAACAAACAAAAAAACCCAAATTCCCTGAGGTCCAAGAGGAGAGAAGGGAAGGCCCTGCACAGAGAAGAGGAAAAGTGCAAGTCATGGAGAGGTTACTCCAGGAAAAGGCCCTGCCGATTTGCTCCCTCAGAACAGGTGCTGTGACCGTTTGCTGAAGCGTGACTTGGGATATCAGATCACAGACTGTGGGAGGCCGCCACTGCCAGACCATGCAAGTGAGCCACCCACAGGAGAAGGCGCTCCCTCCGTGTACGGAAGAGAAAAGCCACAAGAAGTCACAGGTCAGATTACCTGATGCTACGGAAACCCACCCGTTGCCCACAGCGGAGGGGAGGAGAGGAGGCAGCGTGACCAGAGCCGAGGAAGCATTGCATTCACGCTGGCCTCTGTGAGAGCTGTCAGGGAAGGCTTCTGCCCTCCTGCTTACATCCAAAAGGTCATTGCCTAGTGTGGCATTCAAAGATTTAAAGGCTGACAGGCAGATTACCCTGAGGACTCCTGACACCGTGAACAGTACTTCCCCTGTGTCAGTCACAGCCAGTCAGACAGGTGAAAACATCCTGCCGGCTCCCGTGCTCCCTGGAACTGTAAGGGACGCTTCTGTAAGGAGCCGTGCTTCTCAAAGCGTGGCCCTCTAGCCAGCAGCACCCAGAAGCTTGGATGAAATACAGCCTGGGGACTCCCCGGCCTGCTGGGGAGAAACCTGCATTTTAAAAGATTCCCTGCAAGTCTGTCCAAAGTCTGACAGACACTGTCTATAAATGTGCAATCCATGACCTACATTTTTTTTTTTTAGAACTTTGAATTCATTAATTTTTTTCTGTCTTCAAGTATATTCTTTAATACGGCAAAAAGATCCACCCTCCAGAAGGGGTTTGACACTTACATTTTTCTTGTTAAACCTGGTTTATGCCAGGCAGTGGTGGCACACACCTTTAATCCCAGCACTTGGGAAGCAGAGGCAGGCAGATCTCTGAGTTTGAGGCCAGCCTGGTCTACAGAGTAAGTGCCAGGACAGCCAGAACTACACAGAGAAACCTGTGTCAGAGAACAAAACAACCAACCAAGCAACCAACCAACCAAATAATAAAACCAATAAAACCCTCATTTATATAAAAGCCAGCATATTTCCTTACCTGTCCCAATTTTCTAAATTGTTTATAGATTTTTATAGTTCTAGGCAAATTTTATTTTCATGAAAAGATATTCTTACCAAAGACTTGTAAAATCTTTGCTTTTTACCAATTTCCATCATCTTGAGGGAAATTATATTTGTATTTGTTCTCTACGTTCTTGGAAATAATTTTAACTTGGTTTCTTGTTGCTGACGTGGAAGGTGGCGTCTGTATTGAAAATGTGCTGGCAACTGCTATATGTCTGAGAACTCACTCTGAGAAATGACCTGCCTCAACACAGGAAGGATTCAAGTGGTTTCCACCCAGCATCCAGGGCAGGCTAGGCTTCCCTAAACCCTGAATGACCAGATTGCAGTCCCACGCATGACATCACAGACTTGCAGCATCTGGCAAACAGCTCATCAGTTTAGTCTCCAAGGCGAAAGGTCTGGGAGAAAGCTTACAGATAAATTATATATTCATTCATGGGCTTTCACGATTTTTTATTACCGAGCAATGTTTCAAATGTCATCTGAACATTTGGACTAAGTGAGAGGAAGGAATAAAGGGGTTCTAGGGCTGGAACTAAATAGAAACTTGTGGAAAAGTTTGCTCTCACCTGATTGTCGAACCCGCTGTAGAGTTTGTTGGACCAGGACCTCTGATTTCGGGACGATGATGATGAAGTCCACCTTGCTAAAGTGGCCGAGGTCCAGGCTCTGGCTGCCGCTGTCTGCGATTGCGCACACCTGGGATAAGAGTCTTCTGGCAACTGTGAGCTGTGGTTGATAAATTTGGAAGGTTTCGTTATCTACATCTAAAATTGAAAAAAGTTATAAGAACAATATTAATTTAGTTCTTTAACAGGCACTATGAATCCATACGGAGACATAAAACACAAGAGAAAAGCAATGTTTGGTGACCAAGAATTCCCACTTGCTGTTCTCATTCGCTACTGCGCTTTATGGATTTGTCTATTTCCCCCTAAAACCTGATTGAGAAGACACGGTCAAGAACTGGATATGACGGTTTTACAGGTGAAAAACTTAAAAACCGACGGATTGTCTTACAGCCCTTTCCCTGATAGCAGAGACAGACCACACCAGTACGGCTGGACCAGGACTCGGCTGCAGAAAGGGGGCATTCAAGTCTTTAGGACTCAGCACTGCCCAGGGCTTGGGCCCAGGCTCAGTCTAGGGAGGAAGGCAAGGCTGTATCTGTAATACTGCGAGATTCCTTCAAGTTTATTTTTTCTAATACTGTAGTAGACATTCCTTCTTCACTAGCTCGTCCCTTGCAACGTGGCCTGAAATCCCCTCTCTGTGACTACACAACTTAGACCAGAGACACAACCTTCACTTTTCCTCTTCCTTGGCTTGGCTGTGCCAGCACTTGTGACCTGGCAGACCTAGAAGGTATAGTCATTACCAGAGCTGATGCCAGGACTATCCAAAGAGACCTTGTGACACAGCCAGCTGGCCTCTCAATAGGTGATGTACCGCAAAACACTGTCCAGATACTCTCTGCATGTCAGTAACTATTACAAGTTCTCACCAAGCCAACAGTCCCTGTGACTCCCCTCCCCCAGACACAAAAGATCCAAGTGCAATAAGCAAAGTGCCTGGGCAGGCAGCTGCTATGCCTCTTTGAAGGGTCGCTTCTTATCAGGGATACATGTTGGCAGTTTGACTGAGACGCAATCACAAGGGCCCAATTAACCAGTGCTAACAAAAGTTGCTAATAAACTCAACCGAGGTGTAGTTGAGGCAGCCAGTACTCACAACACCCTAGCTACGCTGCACACCAACTAAGTGGAGCTTAACCCAGAGGCCTCCTGGCCGGCAGAAAGAACTGACTGACAGAGCTTAATGCTGTGAGGCTGAACAGCAGAGCTGGGAGAACAGCTCAGAGTTACACCTCTAGGTGTGTAAGGTCCTGAGTTCGATTCCCAGCATCAGAAAAGAAAAAGAAAAAAATGCAAATAATTATTAAGTTTTAAAAATTATGCATATGAGTGTTTTGCCTGTGTGTGTATGTACGTATGTATATGTACCATGTGCATGCCTGGTGTTCAAGGAGGCCACAAGAGCACACTGGATTCCCTGGAACCGATGTTACAGACATTTGCAAGTATCGGTGTGGATGCTGGGAACTGAACTGAGCTTCTCTGGAAGAGCAGCCAACGCTCTTAACGCAGAACCATCTCTCCAGTACCTACATATATTTTCCCCTCATTTTTACCCACAAAGACTACTAATGAAGAGGCTGAAGAGATGGCTCAGCAGTTAGGAGCAAACATTGCTCTTGCAGAACAGAGGTTAGTGTCCAGCACCCGCGTCTTACAACTTTGGGGGAATCCAGTACCCTCTTCTGATCTCTCTGGGCACCTGAACATACATTCACAGAAACACACATAATCACACATAAGTTTAAAAAATACCACCAATGAAACAAACCCATCTTCCGCAGATAGGTTATTAGTTCCTCAGTTCACAGGCTGTCAGGCTGAGAAATAAATGTGTATGCAGATTTGTATTCATAGTTTAACTCAGCAAACGCTGAAGTTCGATGAACTATAAAACATTTATCCCAGTGGTACTTCTTTGTAAATGTTTTGTTATAATTTTCAGTGTTTGCATATATGTGTGTGAGCGTGCCTGGGTCCGTGTGCCACAGCATGAATGTGGAGATCACAGGACAGCTTGAAGGAGTTGGCTTTTTCCTTCTACTATGTGAGCCCTCGGGGCTTGAACTCAGGTCATCAGGCTTGGTGGTAGTTGCTTTTACCCATGAAGCCATCTTGCTGGTTTCAAGCAACATTTCATTTCATTTAATTATTATTATTATTTATTATTATTATTATTATTATTATTATTATTATTATTATTATTATTATTTGAGACAGGGTCTCATTATGTAGCCCTGGCTATCCTGGAACTCACTACTTAAACCAGGCTGGCTTTGAACTCGCAGAGATCCACCTGCCTCTGCCTCCTGAGTGCTGGGATTAAAGATGTGCACCATGTACCTGGCTGACATTTATTTTTAAATTAAAACAATTCGTTTTTAAAATGTGTATAGTATTTTGGTTGCATGTGTGTGTGTGTGTGTGTGTGTTTTCCTCAGAGGCCAGAGGTGGCACCAGGTCCCCTACACTGGAGTTACAGACGGCTGTGAGCTGCCCTGTGGGTTGAAAATGAATCTCCGATCCTTTCAAAAGCAGCCAGTGCTCTTAACTGATGAGCTGTTTCTCCAGTCCCTCCAAGCAACTTTTCTTAAACAGAGAACCAGGGTTGTGTGTAGAGATCTGTATGTATATTGGAAATTAAGGAGTATTTATTTGATTAATTCATTATTATTACATGTGTATGTATAATGTGTGTGAGTGCACGTGTGCAGGTCAAAGGAGTTGGCTCTGTTTTTCTACCTTTATATGGGTTCTGGGATTTAACTCAGGTCCCTGGCTTGGGCTGCAAGCAGCCTTTACCTGCTGAAAAAATGCTAAACTTACTAACAGTTCAAAACAGTTAATAGGACCCCGAGTCAGATTGTCCAAATGACTGCTGTATTACCAAATATCGACCAAAAGTTAAGACGTCGTGGCACACAGTCACATTTGTTCTCATAAGAAGCCGGTGTGCAGGCCTGCTGCAATCTTAACTGCCTACGCGGTCCTCGGTAGAGAGGATGTATTCCTATCCAGGAGGAGGCCAAATGGCTGCCATTAGCCGCTAAGGCGGCGGTGGTGGTTTTTTCCCCCTGTCTTATATCCCAGTAACCAAGGAACTGGGAAAGGCAGTTTTACCACCAACAAACACACCCGCTAATCTGCTTAGGGCAGATGATGTGTTGGTAATACTGTTCTGCTGCTTGAAAGGCCTCATGCTCCCAGACTGCAGCTTCCCAAGCGAGAGAGAAACTGTGTCTAGGTGTTCTTTGAAGCCCTCAGCAAGCATGACAATTCTCTGGGAACAACTAAGGAATCATGCTGAGGATCCAGCCAGTGTGTGGGGGTGTGTATGTGGGGGGGCATGTTCCTGAAACCCCAGAATTTTGGAGGTGGAAGGTAAAGGATCAGAAGTTCAAGACTCAGCTGCATCATTAGTTTGAGGCCAGTTTGGGCTGATAAAATCCTGTCTCAATACACACACACACACACAAATAAACTGAAGATTCCTATGATCATTCTTGGCAAAAATAAGAACTTCCTGAGGCAAAAGGATACCATATTTAAGGGCAGCCCATGCAACTGAACAAGAATCTCTCAGGGGAAAAGCCTTACTAAGGGGAAGTTGACACAGCAAAGCACTGTCACTCGGAACTCAGTTTATCATGTAAAGAGCAACCAAAAGCCAGCCGCAGTCTATGCCAGAAGGCTCCTCAAAACCCTGAGGCTGTTGGGTTGTTTTGGTTTTTTTTTAAAGTGTATCTGTCCTAAGGGCTGATTCCTTCTTTCAGCCTCAGGCCACATTACCCAGGTTTTGTGTGGGAATCATAGCAGCAGCTTCCTGAGGCGACACACATTCGTTCAGGTCACCATTGAAAGGGGTGACCACGCTGTCTCCTCTTCTTTGTTGCATTTTTTCTAGCAGCCTGTCCAGGTCATCACCTATGTCAAGATAAAGTAGATTTAAGAAGGTTATAATGAGCGGCATGCCTGAATGGTCCTTATCAGAATCCAAGTTAGGCAGCTGGGCTGGGTTCTCATCACGATGGGTAAGCTGGCCTGGAATTATGTCAGAATTCCTACATGACCATCTCTGCCGTGGCATATCTACAGTAGGGGCTGTTCTCCACGGCATCTACCCTGGCGGACGCATGCTTCAAACCAACACACTCTCAGCACTGGCTCTCGTGGTTTACATCATATACAAAAGCAGGCAGAATGGGCCTGTTGTGTTTCTATCTGACGTGTGAAAAAGCATAAATCTGGAGAGAGAGAGAAAAAACAGCCCAAGGTCATGCAATAGACACAGCTAAGCTGAGGCTTTAATCCTGGTATCTCTGTGCTTTCCCCTGGACCTCACATGGCTTCCTGTGAGGTGTTAGATAAATCACTCCAAATAGAGGCTCAGCCAGCAACCTTAAGCCCCACCTTCCTGACAGGCTAAGATTTAAATTCAGACAATCACGCAGCTAGGGCTGGCAGGGTGGCCCCAATCTTGCAACCACTCACCTAATGACGTGGTTTTGAAATGTGATGCCAGGAAACTGACCTTTCCCGTGATGAGCTCATAACTAATTTCTTTCAAAAACTCACTTGTGGTAAGCATGCTCTCAGCCAGAGCCCGGGACTGATGTTGACCTGAAGGACAGAAGAACAAGGCGATGAGTCATCACTGACACTAATGTTTGCTGCAACATTAATTATGATAGACATAGTCAAAAACGACAGGGACCTGATTAAGAAGGTCATGGCATTTGGAAAGGTGTGGACCATTACACGGCATCTGAGGCATCAATGTGAACGTTGTTTATAGAGGCAGCAGCAGCAGCAAACATTTGTAATATGATGCCAGGCGATTAACAGAAAAATGGTGCATTTGTGTTTGTGACTGTAAAAATACACACATGCATATACTTAAAGGCTAGAGAAGTCCATGGAAAATGTCTCAGTGTATTTACATGGCCGTTATCAAGTACTTACCTTTAAAATGCAAATTTACGTGGAACTATTCTTAGATTTTCAGATATTAATGATACAGTCAGGAGAAGCTTTCTGGAACCCTGACATAGAGTGGGCAGACAGTTTGGCCAGTGTCCTGGAGAACCAGCATGAGCATATTGGTCATCTCCCCACGTTCTAAGGTTTCCTCGCTGGTGCAAAGGAGGCTCCTCACTGTGGAGAGTGTCTGACAGGCACCGTGGCAAAAGCTTTTCCGCATGACAGACTGGGAACACTTGCAAAACCTTTAAAATGTACTTGTTTGTTTCTCTCTGTGTGTGTTCATGTACCAAACATGCATGCAGGATCCTGAAAATACGAATAGGGTGTTGGGTCCACCAGGACTGGAGTTACAGGCAGTTGTGAGCTGCAAGGTGGGTGCTGGGAATTAAACCCAGGTACCGTTCAAGAGCAGCCAGTGCTTTTGACTGCTGAGTCATCTTTCTAGCCCCAATACTTGCAAAACCTTTTAAGGACAGAAGTTACATGAGATGAGGGTATCTGTTTCAAGAGTAAGTTTTAAAAGAATGTCTCCAGGCTAGGGGTGGTGGTTCACACTCTTAATCCCAGTGCCAGGAGGCAGAGGCAGGCAGAGCTCTGTGAGTTTGAAGCCAGCCTGGTCTACAGAGTGAGTTCCAGGACAACCAGGGCTACACAGGGAAACCCTGTCTCAAAAAAAATAAAAAACAAACAAACAAAACAAACAAACAAACAAAACCCCAGAAAACAAATGACTCCAGAACCTCAGCCACACTGAGGGTTTTAATACCTGATCTGAGGAAGAAATGAAAGTTAAAATTGAGAGAAGTCAACAGCCATTAACCAGAGAATAATTATGTACCTGCTAAAAACACCCAATTGCTACTTTTCAAATACAGATGCCAGAATGGACCCCTTAAACATGTGATAAGGCAAACAAAGCAAGCCCCAAACCCTACTTACCCAATACCACCACACAGAATTCATTTCCTCGGATTTTCGATGCACAAATCGCCACAACATAATCAGGTAGCCTCTGATAGTGTTTCATCTCGCTGAGAAGCCTCAGTGTCTCTGAAATGCCCTCTGCCAGAGAGTTTGGGGTCACAATCACATGAACCAGGTCTTGAGACACGCTGGCAGCTAACCGAGCAAGCCAGGGGAGCTGTCCGGGTGACATGGGTGGGCACGGAGCGCCCATCTGCACCGCTCTTTCTCTCACAGTAAATTCCTGCATAGCTTTCAACATGATTTGCTCAAATTCTTCCCTGAGAGGTATCTGGTCAGGACCTGTATTAAAGAGAATTACAACTAGAATTTAGACATCACAGAAGAGAGAAAACACATAGCATCTAGCATCTGACAGTTTAAAACCCACCACACTCCAACCGGCAAGGGAGCACTTTTATCTTGCAGTGTTCCCAGGCCACAACTTATACTAGCCACCCAACATTGCAAAATTCCCTTTTCATTTTTCTCTGGCCTCAGTTTTGCTTTCTTTCTTTTCTTTTTGAGACAGGGTTTCTCTGTGTAGCCCTGGCTGTCCTGGAACTCGCTCTGTAGACAAGGCTGGCCTCAAACTCAGAGATCCACTTGCTTCTGCCTCCCAAGTACTGGAATCAAAGGCATGTCCCACCACTGCCTGGCTCTGGCCTCAATTTTTTCACTCGGGCTCTGTTTCAAGGAGGAAATACAAAGGTACAAGACTGATCCCACTTCATGCCCTGGGAGACAATCATTTTCAAACACTGGCGCTATGGATTATGCTAACTACTAATAAAAGAAACCAACACACTGGTGTATAATTAACTTTAGGTTTCACCTATTTCTCATTTTATGCATAGATTCTTTTAAAAATTTATATATATTGGTTTTTTGAGACGGAGTTTCTCTGTGTAGCCTTGGCTGTCCTGGACTTGCTTTTTAGACCAGATCCGTCTGCCTCTGCCTCTGCCTCCCTGAGTGCTGGGATTAAAGGCCTATGCCACTACACCCAGACTATAAAAATATTGTAATGTATTGTCTCCACTGGATTTTGACATTATTCACAGGAAAATTACTTTTCATTCCCAATTTACTTGTTACACAGCCCCCAACTTTCCCCAGACAGAGGGTGTCCTATAATCTCATTCTCCCCTTGTACTTTGGATTGTTAAATAGGACATTTGGCCTCTCTCCCCAGCCAGAGTTGAGTAAACTTATACTGATGGTCTATAGCACTCGGACTTAGAAATTAGAGGGATTTTGTTTCTTACTCTCTTTAGAGACTTAACCAGTCTTCAGAACAAAATCAGCAAGCATCCAAGTGGCACAGATTAAGACTTCTACCTTCAGTTTAAATGAAGAGCTAGGGGATATATTGACTGGTTTTGTGTCCGTGTTGGGTCGTGTTCCATCCCTTGTCCCCCTCTCACCCTGCGTAGACTTGAAATTCAAGGGCTCCTGTCAACAGGGGCAGACTCCTCAGTATCTGTGACCACAGGCTAAGCACTGGCTTTAGAAGCCCAGGCTATCCCACAGAGGTAAGGATGGGGCCTGTCTAGAAGAAACCATTCCTTTCTCTGATGGCAAGTTAAGTGGTCTCGTGGCCCCGCTCATCTTTTTTGGAGAGTAAGAAAATGAGGGGTTTAATTATCATTCTTTAAAGACAAGTGGGATTATAGAAAACATCGCACATTCTAAAACTAAGTAATTTATATGGGATAAGCCACTTTTCTAGGAGCGGCAGAGGGCCAGGGAGGAGTTGGAGAATGGGAACCTATTGGTAGGTGCTTGTTTCCTGTTCAGCGAGCACATAGCCTGGCACTTGCCTAGTTGCCTAGTGAGTGAGGCTCTGGGTTCCAGCTCCAGAACTCCACCCATTCCACATAAAACACGGTTTCTCATGTCCTTCCTGACCCTGCCACTTGCTGCGTGGAAATGAATGGTGGGTTTCTGGCTTTGTTTTTAGGTCAGTTGGGAGTCCTGCCACTCTGGACTTCACCCAGCTTTAGCAAATTAGAGTCATGGTTTGCAGTCACCACACCCAAAGTGTGCAGTGGGCTCAAAGTGGCTGAGTTTGTAAAAAAAAAAAAAAAAACAAACACGAAGGGAAGGTGCTCATTTTTATAGCACTCTTCTACCAGAGTACATGACAAGTGAAAAGCAGGTGGCCTGTCTCCATGTCTTAGTGTCTTCCAGTGAAAACCCGAAAGGCTCAGAGGCCCAGTTGATAGGTGCATGAGACCTAGGGCAGGGCAGGAGCCAGCAACATTCTCTGGGGGCATACAATGAATGCATGCAGAGATATTTGGGGAAACTAAAGTTTCCAGAATTCTTTGCTATCTTAAGACTCTCATAAAGCTTTGATTGAAGTACTGTTAAGAAACAAAAAATGGGGTGCACACACTCAAGTTCAGACGAGAGAAGATCTTTCAGAACAAAACATGTTCCCACTTCTTCACTTCCACCCTCTGTCCTGACTGGGTTCTTCCAAGCTCGATAACAATGATCTTCCCTTTGAAAGCTATTCCCCAGAGCTTCAGCGCTGATGGCTTTTCAGATGGAGCCACCACAATAGAAGAAACATTTCCCAGAGCTCACCTGGATTTGCTGATTCCATTATCTACTTCAAAAAAAAATTTTTTTTTACCTTGTGAAATGCCAGAAAAAAAAAAAAAAAAACATTTAAGTGACTATCATAGAAAGCTCTTCCTTTCCAAAGAATCTTGCTTTTCTTTTTTCCCTGTCAGTGCTCAGAGAAACAAAGCATAAAAACTGTCATTTTAGAGGTTTAGATAATTTTTCAAAATGTCCATAATCTATGCATATGTGAAAATATTCTTGCTGCCTCTTAAACTTACAGGGACAGAATAATTTTTTTTTTCAGGCATACCAGAACAACTTGGTGGGGGACGGAGAAGTCCCAGCACACAAACCCGGGTGAAAGAAAGAAAGGGAAGGAAGGGAGGAAGAGAGGGAGGAAGAAGGAAGGGAGGAAGGAAGGCTACGCTGTTGTGCTGCATGTCAACAGACCTAATGACTTTCCAGTCACTGGCAAAATTCTGGAGAGAACTGATGCTGAATAGAAAAAAAGAACCTTATTTAATTAAATTAGAAATCTCCAAGTTAAGAGGCTTTAGTAACTGGAAAGAAGATATTTTATTTTTGTCAGATGGTTTATTTAATTAACTGGGACCCTGGTTTTCTTTGAAGGTTGAAAAAAAAAAAAAAGAGAGTGATTGGCCTTTTACTAAAAACACTGCCCTATAAAGCATTGTTCTCACTGATTGGGGGAGCACGCAGATGTGACTTCGTGTCTTACAAGGCAGCCCACAGTCTAGAGTATGTAGCAATTAAACTTACGACATCAAATAAGCTAGAATGAGGTGGTTTAAAAAAATAACTTTATTATTTACGAACAAGTAAGATTTTCAAGTTACAGGTTTATTATGAAAGTGGGTTTCATGGAAAATGTGGCTTAAAAAACTCATCAGGGTGGAGCCCACCTCAAGGAGCCTCCTGGAGAATTAAGATCCCTCGCTGGCGTTGCTACATGGCACTGGAAAGGCTGTGTCTGCCTTGCTGAAACTTTTGCTTATTAAATATGATCTCAGTATTTTTATGGTTTCTTAACACCATAGTACTTTTTAACATTTAAAAAAAGAACTCATGAGCACATATAAAATTATTATATGAAAATCTGCACCTCAAACATTTTCCTAAGCAAATCAATAGCGTGAAATCCCAGAGTGAGTGTGGGATTAGGCTGCATATTGATGACTCAGCAGTTTGCAAAATAAATAACATTTTAATGTAAATGTTGGTGAGCACCTGTGGTGCTGTCAAGAAACCTGCATATACTCCCTGCAGGTTCAGAGGAAGTGAAGGGTTCATGACCTTTGCATCCCTCTGACCCTAGGGCCTTCCTTCCCAAAAGGAACCCTAGCAAAGCCCTCTTAGGTTCTTTCTACTGGATAGGGAGGTTAGGGAGCACCATGACACTGGACACTAGGGGGAGCAATTTGTCCCTTTTATGAAGAGCCTGGAGAAAAGGGAAAGGAAAAAGTCAGGAGACTGGGTAGAAGGAAAGCAACTTAGAAACCAAAGAAAGAAAATACGAGCCAGGCAGGCAGACGAACGGGAAAGGACACCTCCACGATGCTGGAGGGCAGCTTACCCAACCGTACAAGATACTGGATCGTCAGGAGGATCATGTTCTCCACGCTCAGGAGATGGGTGCCGTTCAACCCCAATTGTTCCAGATCTTTGTTTTCCAACTGTGGAATCTTGTAGCAATTCACCAGGAGGGGACTCACAACAATGTCACCAACATTCCCATAGAAATAGGGTAAAGTGCCGTAGCCTGCCCCCAAAGAAACAAGTTAGCACGACTCCGCACTTCCGAGTTCCCGTCAGGCGCACCAGCTCAGGGCCCCTCAGCCCGCTGAGATGGTGCCTTATGAATTAGCCTGCCTGCTACACACTCTATAGAAAGCGAGATGCGCCATTCCATCAGATCATCTGCTCCCCACAGATGGGGTACTGCTAGCGCCATAGTCTGTCCCTGAAGACCAATGTGATGATAGATAGTTCCTGATCAGCCTTCTTTTCCACATGAGACAGCAAACTGCGGTAACATTTCAGTGCCCAGTGTTCTGGGGGTTGAGTGGGGAAAGTTAAGCTATACTCACGGATAGACCAATATTCTAAGTAGTTGCAGAGCCTTAGCGATTTCCTACTTGTTTTACAGTATTAGTGTTTGTTTGTTTTTTCCAGTTTTTATGTGTATGAGTAATTTTCCTGCATACATGTCTGCACAGCACATGTTTAGGGTCCATGGAGTTCAGAAGAGGGTGTTGAATCCCCTGAAACTGGAGTTAAGAATAGTTGTGAGCCATTACATGGGTGTTGGGAACAGACCCTGTGTCCTTTGCGTGTGCAGCAAGTGCTCTTAACCAGTGCTCCATAACGTTAGCCCTGATATCGCCATGTTCTTTTCATTTCTCCGGATCCAGGGGATGCGTCAAGATACCTTAGGCAGGACAGACATACGTTGAAAGGTATTTCACCCTGCTTTGGTGGTGCAGTAAAGAGGACCGTCTCTCTCTGTGAGACTTTCTTTTTCTTCTCTTTCTTTTGAAAGAGTGCCCTAATAAGTAGCTCTGCACCGAACTCAGTATGTAGACCAGGTTAGCCTTGAATTCACTGAGAGCTCCGTGCCTCTACCTCCCACGTTGGGATTAAAGAAAGGCGTGCGTCACCACAGCTGGCCTCTGTGAGACTTTCTAAAAGCCAAGTGCAAAAGGAACAAAGAGCTCCACATTCTTCATCTTTTTAAGGCTGACGCTGATGCTAAGGACCTCCTGAGTCACATGGAATTTAAACCACTGGAATCCTTCTCCCCAGTACCCCCAGATCCAGGATCAGAGGATAGGGTGACCTGATAAAGAACAGGGCCTGAAGTAAAAACACCCAAGTCAACAGAGCCAGGCCCAAGCACAAGAGCAGATAATGACTCATGAACACACCCCACCTCCTTTATCATGGGAAAAAAACCAGGCAGTCTCCTTCTGGTCTAGACGGCCTGGCTAACAGGCCTTCAGATATGGGTATGGAAGGTACTCAACTAGTTGTAGAATGCAAAAATTGGAACCTAGAATTTAGGCCCCTAAACAACCACACTTTCACTGCAGGCAGCAGCCGGTTGGGCCAGACTCCGCAGACACCAAGACGCTGACTCACAGAGCTGGCTCCCTGGTTCAGACCTATGCCCCAGGGGGTTCCTGGTTTTCTGAAGTGAGGTCTGTCAGTTGGCTCAGTTCATTTCTTTTCTTTGAGGTTTGGCTTTCTTTGACTGGACTGTTTCCCTTCCTCCACCTGTCCACTTTCAGTAGGCTTCTGCACACAGCTTTAAGTTCAGCCTGAAGGTTTTCTAAGACCCTTCCCGATAGTGGTAATCCCTCTCTCCCAAAACTTGGTGACGCTCTTGGCTATGAACCTTTGCCAGCTCTCATATCCCAATGCATCACAACGTTGTCTGAGTGTGTGGCAAATACTGACTCCAATAAAGGGTCACCCCTAGCCCCACCTCCACCCACCCACCCCCAACTGGAGAGAGATTCTTGAGGGCAGGAATGCCTTAGTCTCAGGTTCAAATCACTTGCTTAATGAAGGGGGTGGCCAAGGAAAGCTGCTGCAGTCAGTAGGGACAAATAAATTTACTCATAAGAGTGTGACTAGGCCCACAGAGAAAGGGCAGCAGACAGAGCAGTCTAGATGGTGGAATTCCTCCACCTTACCTATCAGGATCACCGGTCTCACTCCCGAGTTACTCAGCAGGTTTTCAGGAACAATCACAGTTTCCCCTGCAGGGACAGGCCGAGGCTGGAGAATTCCAGTTAACGGGGTCTGTGGAACTGGCGTAGATAAAAGGGGCTCTGGAAAGAAAAAAAGTAGTTTGACAAGAAAGATTAGGCAGGGGCTAACCGAAAAGCTTCAGAAACCAATGCAGTTCTAATACGTTAAGGAGAGATGTTTTAGAAGTCTAATAGTTTACTGTTTTTTTTCATTACCATATGCATCACAGAAAATTAGAATAAAAAAGCAGAGGTAAGAAAACAAATCAAACATAATCATGCCCCGGTAGAGAATGACCCCTGAGCGCCGCAGTGGCTTTTTCTAAGCAATCTTTTAGATTTAGCCTTGTTTTTCTTATCTACCACCCCGGGTGACCACGAGTATCATTTCCCACTATATAAAGCTGAAAACAGAAACACATGACAAAGACTCATCCTTAATCATTTCTACCTGTAAGCAACTGTGGTACCATATTGCATTTGTGAGATTCCTCTAGAATCTTTAAAACTACTTAAGCAGATCAAAAAATGTAAAGACCCCTACCCAGGGCTTAGGGTTGAAGCTCTTGCCACTGTCTAGTCAGTAGAACAGGCGGGCAAATATTTACATACTTGGCTGAGGGCATCTTTAGACACAGTCTAGACAGTAGGAAGGAGATGAAGGCAGCTCTGCACAGTGTAGCTTCAGTCTAAACCATAAGACCAAAGTAATCAAGAAGTAG